GTCTTGTTCCTTTCAGCTCCTCCAACCTTACAGAGAGTTAATAAACCAAGAATGTGTGGACATTGGAAAGTAGTTTGTTATGTGGGAACAAGCAAGAGAGATTCTGGGTTATCTTGCTCCAAGTAAGCTTGTTATGGCTAAATAATGCAACTGTCTCCTGGAAATTCTCAGACGTTTGAATGTCTAGAAGGTTCCATGAGTTGGTTTGGCTGGTATTAATGAGTGTGATGTCATACATTATGAGGCTTTTTTTTCATAAATGGTCAACATGGTATAAATATGTCATTGAAATGTGCTATGTTTTCACCCCACAAGACAGTGGTCTGGGTTATTCTACAACACATGTATATCAACTTTGAAGAAAGAGTGCAGAGATCAGTGGTTGGCTTTGGGAGACCAAGCATGGAAGCCCCCATAGAGGGAATTTATATAAATGATTAGGCTACTGCAGATGACAAAAGATCAAATATGATGTTATAAATACGGCAGAAGTCACTGGAAGATGGAGTTCTCACTGGAAGATGGAATAATCCAGATAGTGGTGGATTTTGGGGCTCAGTTGGTTAATTTGGGTGTCAAAAAAAAATGGCAAATTATAATTAACTCAAATGATGCACAAATAATGAGTTGAACATGTCTAGTACTTTCTAGTCAATTGTTCGGTTTTAGCTGCCATTTTAGGCTGAAGGCCTCTTTTCTGGGATACCAGCCCAGGGTACCAGACACAAGGGGTTAGAGCAGCCTTTCTCAGCCATGGTGCCGCCGCACTCTGGTGTGCCTTCTGCTACCTCAGGGGGTGCCTCAAAATTTTTTACACAGTCCCGGTGAACCAGAAAATGGCTTTTGGAGGCATATGTCCGTGTATGCTGTAGCAATAACACCCTTCACTGCAAATGCCTGAACTCAATTGGTAGGGGATTGTCCACATACCTTTGTCCTGGAAGTGTCACTATAATGGTCAGATGTCCACAGAATTTTGGCTATGTATTGTAGGTGTAATGATCAGGTGTTCACATGCTTTTGGCCATGTATTGCAGGTGTAATGGTCAGGGGTCCACATACTATTGGCCATATAGTGTAGGTGTGATGGTCAGGGATCCACATACTATTGACCATATAGTGTAGGTGTGATGGTCAGGGGTCCACATGCTTTTGGCCATGTATTGCAGGTGTAATGGTCAGGGGTCCACATGCTTTTGGCCATGTATTATAGGTGTAATGGTCAGGTGTCCACATACTTTTGGCCATGTATTGTAGGTGTAATGATCAGGTGTTCACATGCTTTTGGCCATGTATTGTAGGTGTGATGATCAGGTGTTCACATGCTTTTGGCCATGTATTGTAGGTGTGATGATCAGGTGCCTGAACTCAATTGGTAGGAGATTGTCCACATACCTTTGTCCTGGAAGTGTCACTATAATGGTCAGATGTCCACAGAATTTTGGCCCTGTATTGTAGGTGTGATGGTCAGGTGTTCACATGCTTTTGGCTACGTATTGTAGGTGTAATGGTCAGGTGTTCACATGCTTTTGGCCATATATTGTAGGTGTGATGATCAGGTGTCTACATGCTTTTGGCCATGTATTGTAGGTGTGATGATCAGGTGTCCACCTACTTTTGGCCATATATTGTAGGTGTGATGATCAGGTGTTCACATGCTTTTGGCCATGTATTATCGGTGTGATGGTCAGGTGTTCACATGCTTTTGGCCATGTATTGTAGGTGTGATGGTCAGGGGTCCACATGCTTTTGGCCATGCATTGTAGGTGTGATGACACATGCTTTTGGCCATGTATTGTAGGTGTGATGATCAGGTGTCCACATGCTTTTGGCCATGTATTGTAGGTGTAATGGTCAGGGGTCCACATGCTTTTGGCCATGTATTGTAGGTGTAATGATCAGGTGTTAACATGCTTTTGGCCATGTATTGTAGGTGTAATGGTCAGTTGTCCACATACTTTTGGCCATGTATTGTAGGTGTAATGGTCAGGTGTCCACATACTTTTGGCCATGTATTGTAGGTGTAATGATCAGGTGTCCACATACTTTTGGCCATGTATTGTAGGTGAGATGATCAGGTGTTCACATACTTTTGGCCATGTATTGTAGGTGTGATGATCAGGTGTTCACATGCTTTCGACATGCTTTTGGCCACGTATTGTAGGTGTAATGGTCAGTTGTCCACATACTTTTGGCCATGTATTGTAGGTGTAATGGTCAGGTGTCCACATACTTTTGGCCATGTATTGTAGGTGTAATGATCAGGTGTCCACATACTTTTGGCCATGTATTGTAGGTGAGATGATCAGGTGTTCACATACTTTTGGCCATGTATTGTAGGTGTGATGATCAGGTGTTCACATGCTTTTGGCCATGTATTGTAGGTGTAATGATCAGGTGTTCACATGCTTTTGGCCATGTATTGTAGGTGAGATGATCAGGTGTTCACATGCTTTTGGCCATGTATTATAGATGTGATGGTCACGTTTCTACTTACATTTTGACTGCATATTGTAGGTCTAATGGTCAGGTGCCTACATGTTTTTGGCCACATATTGCACTGCTGATGGTCAGGTGTCTCTACTTATTTTGGCCATACAGTCCATACAGTGTATATTGAGAATCATCCGAATGTGTCACTCTGCTGGCAGTCCCATAGAGGACCGATCTGTGCTTTTCATTCCTCATCTGCTGCTTCTGTATATGGCACCCCTGGTAATCACATTGGTGTTTATCTTTCCAGGCAAAACAGGATATTCTTACATTTATTTCCCCGGTTAGGCGGAGAACGGGATCTTTATCGTTATCAGTATCAACATATTGTCTCCCTGATGCGCGGCTTTGCAAATGATCTACTGCAAGTGGCTGAAGCATGATTTTCTTTTTCTTAAATGAGTATCTGATAGTAAAGAGGACGAGATGAGGAAGTCTGCGCTGATAATGCAATTCCATTCCTGACTGCTGACACCCAATGGGCTGTAACATTTGTGTGCTGTGGGAAATGGATATGCGCTACGTCTGTCCCTCTCATTAGGACAATTCACTTTCGTTGTGCTTATTTGGATTTCAGCAGCAGCTAAGAACATAAGAACGTCGGGTCAAACGAACAAAACAAAGCATTCTTTCCTGACATCTAGTGCAGGAGGTTTAAACTGGTAGTGATACATTTATTGCCTAAATTCCTCATCTAAGTAAGTTATTATAGTGGACCTTTCAGTAACTATGTGTCGGTAGGGATACATTCCTGACATGTCACAATATACAGCTACAGACTCAGTATCATTTATTATGAAAGGCTCTTCTGTTTATCATTAAAAGACCACCGCTGAGCTCCAAGTCCAGTGACATTGCCTATGCTGAGATACCGTTATCAGTCTTCTGCGGGCAGGAAGAAGCATTTCCTCAGTCTTCCCTCCCCCAGTGATCAGTCTTCTGCAGGCAGGAAGAAGCATTTCCTCAGTCTCCCCTCCCCCAGTGATCAGTATGCTGCAGGCACGAAGAAGCATTTCCTCAGTTTCCTCTACCCCAGTGATAAGACTGCAACTTGGGTAAAATTACCCTTTAAAAAACGTAGTGTAGCAATGACTCCTATAGGAGCTACTGGATCTTTATGGACTCTCCTGCCTTCCCAAGGGTTACTGACCCTGGAAGGGCACCCAAGGCACTCACTGACCCAACTAAGGCGACAGACAGACTTCAGATCCTTCAACCTTCTTTCTTCCAATGTATTGGTTCAGTTGTCTTGGGGAGAGAGGGTTAGGGTAGAGAATACCGAACATCAGCAACAAAAAGTCTTTGGGCCCATCCTGTCTTCTATCTTCCATCATTATTTCACCTCTGCCACAGATAGGCTGTCAGACTAATGTAGGTTCTGTCGGCCCGGGTGGGCGCCTACCTTTCAGCATCTTCAGCCTCTGCCCCAGGCCAGTTTAGGACACTCTAAGCCCAAATGGGTACCTAGGAGAACAAACCCCCTTTCTTGGCTCTGGCTTCCTCCTAAAGGCAAAAAAGTCTAGGAAGCTGCAGCTAAATCCTACTCAGGCATCACCCTGGGAGGCAGGAATCTTCCACCACTACTTCTCCATACAAAGCCTAGGAGAGAAAGGATCCTTCTAGTCTTTCCAAATGTTTGTATATTGTTTATATGGTTATACATTGTATCTTCTTACCCTATCCACTGGAGAGCATTCAACATGAGCAATGTCCTTGGGTTCAGAAGAAACCAGCACAATGCTCAGGTTGGCTAAAGCCTTGCTGTAAAAAAACTAAGGGGTCTATTCATCAACTTTGGCCTGTGAATCTTTGTGAACATTAATTCTGTTCCAATAGTGGCAATAACTAACGTTCTTAATGTATTTTCTTTTCACAGCAAATGTAATGTAATTTAACACTGCATTATGGCCACTAAATGCAGCTGAGGAGCATAGGAAATATGTAATGTAATGCATTGAGTTGTAAATCCACATTATGGCCACTAGATGGAGCTAAGGAACATACATACTTATTGCCTATGCTCCTCAGCTCCATCTAGTGACCATCATGTGGTATTATAACTCACTACATTCAACCTGAAAGTATACTAAGAATGTTTGTTTTTGCCTCTTTTTTGTGCATAGAATGAACGTTCACAGAGATTTACAGGGCGAATGGCTCTGCCAATTGTTTAAAAAAGGAACCCCTAACTTAGACTAGGGACAATCCACTTTAAAGGAGGTCCCAACAGAAGTAATACATTGTTAGTGTATTTTGAATGCACTTGTAATCTATATACAGTTTAAAGAAACATGGTCATGTGGAATTATATTTTGCCCCCCGGTGGTGTAGAAAACCTACTCAAAGCTCACATAGAAGGATAAACTCCAGCTTCTCCATTCTTGAGCACTAAAGAAAGGTTGTGCCGACCTCCAGCCGCTCTCCCTGAAGTATTCTCGATCCTTTGTCACTGCGACAAGTGTCCTTTTAAGCGCCTCCAATATGTCTGTTTGTCATTTCTCTTGCAGCTCTCGACAGACATGAGTGAGCGATGTGACTTGGGCAATCTCATCTGAAGGGCCGAGTTGTTCTTTTGGAGGAGACTTCTAGATGAGACTCGCTGAGACACTGAATCTGTGTGAAGAGGCCTAAGGATTTAATAGGATGTCAACGGAGACAGAACTTCAAGTGGCTGTGAAAACCAGCGCAAAGAAAGAATCCAAAAAGAAAGGTAATTGTCCTCTTGTTTTGGGAGAAGGGGGGCATAAGGGACTATGGAAGGCGCCATATGAAGGCTGCTACATGTTGACTGATAAGGGTTTATAATGTATCTATAGCGGTGCGTTTTGCTTGGATTTGTCTTTATAATCAGTTCTTCTGTGGCTATCCATACCTGTCAGTCATTGGTTTCATTGTATTACAGCTTTGCCTCCAACAATATTAAAATGTAGCAGAGCCTAGGGGGAAGAATGGGGAGAAAAGGGGGTGGCTTGCTGAGTTTATTGCTTATGAGTGACACACTATCCAGCCAATGGCATGTAGGGAGGAAGAGAATTGTCTGTTCTTGGGCTACATGCTGAAAATGATAGAATGTAACAGACACATGGGGGAAGAGGAGGAAGTGTAGAGCTCAGGGCAAGGAGTCTTGAGTGAACCAATAATTGTGAAGAGAAGGGGAAAGCTCCATTCTGAGACAAAATATCAGCAATGAAGCCGGGCAATTCCTCATTCATGGACACGTCAAATTTGTTTGTCTGCAGTGCTTCTTTCTAAGCAACAATCTATTAGTATATATAGCAGAGGTACAGATGGGTATAGGGGAGGATACAGATGGTAGAAGAGCTTACAATCTATTAGGATATAAGGGAGGATACAGAAGGTAGAAGAGCTTACAATCTATTAGGATATAAGGGAGGATACAGAAGGTAGAAGAGCTTACACTCTATTAGGGTATAAGGGAGGATACAGAAGGTAGAAGAGCTTACACTCTATTAGG